AATAACTCTTGCACGTCTTGCGTGCCTATGTTTTTTGTTGTTGTTTTGATTTTTGTCTTAATTTTCTTGTTTTTGAATGGGGAAAGTGAAACATTGCTAAATACCTATGAAGAGAATTTAACCATGGCCAATTTGCCTTGGTCATAATTTTTTCTGGCTATCAGGTCCTGGTATCTTGCATGTATATCTTCCAAACTATATCTTTATAATTACAAGTTCCAAAGACCTTAAATTGCATTAAAGGACCATTTTCTTATCACGACTTTCGTGTACCATATGCTGGTCCGATTACAGTCAAAATCTCCACGTCCCCTGGGGAACGGATCTAGAAAATTCAGATAGAGGTTGGGACAAAGACTGCAAGCCAACTGCCCCCCCCTTCCCCCCCACCCCCCCCCCCGAAAAAAAAATTTCACAATAACCAAATTCCCCTCTAAAGATGGCTGGTCATTTTTTTTTTTCGAAAACGTGAAAAAAAGGGGCCACGGTCCCTTCAGCCTCCCATCCAAATCTTCTGTCCCTGATCTCCTGTCTCTCAGGTAACAGGCAAACTGAGATTTGGGAGATAAAGCTTAACATATCTGACATGGTTGTATCAGTTAGTCATTTAGAGGGGTCAGCAAGAGATAACTACTAGTCAAAGAAATATTTGGTTTCTATTTTTTAGGCTGGCATATATGACTGAACAATTTATCTGGTTTAGTAGACCATCAAATCTCTGTACACTTATTGAATGAGGCAGATATGGTTCCATTTTTAAGCGATAATGTAGTCATGCGCTTATAGCTGGCATGCTGCATTCCTTTGGATAGTGATTTCTCAGTTATTTTGTCGCGCTTATGTCCGTCGTGCTTTTGTCGCGCACTTTTTATCCCTCTGTGGAAGCAAAATGCACTCTGGGAGCTACCTTTGTGGCTTTGTAGGATCGGTGGAGTGCCTTTATTTTCAGCTTTTAAACGAAGATTTTGAGTGTGGATTGTGCTTTGTCAAGTATCCGAAAAATTTACGCTCACAGACAAACTCAAAATAAGAATATATCGTCCATTTATACAACTTTAGATTGACAAGCAAGTCGCACACGCAATAGGTCAAGGGTCCACATTAAATTTACGTATTAATGAGCATCGTTTAGGCTGGACCATTGCCTGTCTTGTGTTGAATTGAATGAGCAATGTCAGAGCACTGTATGGGCATTGTATGAGCACTGAAATATCTGAACTAAACTTAAATGTGTGGTACATGTGATAAGTCAAGGGTCCACATTTCAGGTGACATTTACGTATTGGTGGGCATTGTTTAGGCCTGAACTAAACTTATCTGTGGGCTGAAATATCGGTAAAATTGAACTTGAATTGGAGAAGAGCATTGCAGAAGTTCACTGTGAAACCAGTTAAGATAGCAGAAAGTAATGGAGAATAGTGTAACGAAAAGGTGAGCTACCTGAAGGTTTTGTCTTGATCAGGACTGGTTAATGTAGCTTAGATCATGGTTTCTTTAATGTAATACAGAGCGGCGGTTGTTTTTGAATGGGGAATGTGAAACATTGCACAACATTGATTTGAAAGCCAAAGAATACTCAAGCCATGTAAGAGGGACGTTCTGGTCTATGCTATTGTTTATGTTTTACCTGGAAGCGATATATCTTCCAACTTTAAAAAAAGTAATTCGCTCTTGGCAAATGACTCACTATGCAAGGTTTTGGTTCCCTCAAATGTGTGTGTATCATTTTTGCATTCCTTTGTTGATTTTACTAGCTAATGATGTGAAAATGAATCCTGGGTCTTGTTACCCTGTGGATTCGTCAACTGTCACTGCTGACTATCATCAAGGTGTCATTTCACTGTTTGGAATGAGTGTTGATAAACAATGTGCAGCAGTGTGTTTTACTGCACACACAATTTATCTGGAGTGCTTTTAATTTCAGCTTTTAAACAAAGAATTTGGGGTGGATTTTGGTTTATCCAGTATCGGATAGATTTACACTCACGGCAAACTCACAATAATATGGTCAAAGGTCCATTGATAATAGGTATATGGTTAAAACAACAAATTAATTAATTCTGGTAAGGTAATTAGCATTGCAAAATGTCCTTAAAGATAATAAGGTGTTGATTTCAGAGAGAAACAATGAGAATACTATTTGTTGTCTGGGAGCTAGTATTTAAAAGACACACCAAATTTTGCCATCTTTGGTTTTGGGGAGTGAGAAACTTGTCCTTGGGGACTGAGCTTTACAGCTGGTAGGATCTGCGGAGTGCCTTTAACTTAAGCTTGTTCTCATGTGCCGTCACAAATTCATTGACTTTTCGCTCAACAGGTCATGCTGTTGAAAACCTTATCAAAGTAAACACAATGAAAGTGTTACGCTTCCGTTCGCATTGCGGAATGCAATTTTAACTGGATGCCCTGATCTGACCCTAGGCTCGATTTCCCCTGCTCTCTCCTGTCCACTTGCTGAGCACGGGCTCATTTCCAGAAACAGCGGCTGGTAATCGAGCCTAATCTGACCCACATTGTATATATACATTGAGATTTTGATCATAGACCTAACAATTAATTTTTGTGAGTTACACCTGTTTGCTTATTCTCAGAAAATGTGTTTGAGGGGTTAGTTTTTAACCACTCATTCTCATCTTTAGATTTTTCTGCATGACTGAAACCCGTCACTTTAATGGTTTAAGCTCATTGTTTGTTGCCAATATATTTTAAACATAAGCGAGTTGCGTGAACTGAAACAAAATTAAGTGCTAAAAACAGCCTGTCACACTGCAAACTGAATAAAATAATGGTTACATCTGCAACAATATATTGCAGAACACTTACTTGAGCTCTGAAAATGCAGACACAATGAACAAGTTGCATTTAGTAGGAGTCATGTATTGTAGGTTCATTTTGTTTGATAGTTGATTTGGCCAGCACCCTCATGAACTAAATGCTTGCAGATTATCTTGCCATAACTAAATGAGCTGTAATGCAAGTCTAAATGTAGAACCGGTTGAAAAACAAATGTTTTGTTAATTGGAACCTACTTTCATCCACACATCCCTTAGCGTCCTAGGCAGATGCTCAGTATCGCACATTCCTCCTAAGGAAATATTGTGTGACTACTGATGGTTTTTTCTTTTTTTTTTTTTAACTTATTCATTTCTTAACTTGTGACAATTGCTCTCACATCCCTGTTGATTAATGAACTCAACTTCCTTTTACAAATACCCCTTATAAATGTATCCCAATTTTACTAGTGCCAGCAAAAAGAAATGTCATCGCTTCTGCATGCATTGCGTGCCATTTATTACTGAATACATTTGCCATATTTTGTCATTTCAGGACATGGACTCTTTGTGGTACTCCAGAATATCTTGCTCCAGAAATAATACAAAGCAAAGGTCATAATAAAGCAGTGGATTGGTGGGCACTAGGAATTCTTATCTATGAAATGCTTGTTGGGTAAGAATTTATGATAGCTTAAAATTCCAGGGGACTGCAACTCAACCTGTACATGTACCTGTCAACTCTCATTTCTTAGGCATGAGTCTCACACCTATGGGTATAGGCCCCAGTTGTTTGAGAGCTGGATAACACTATCCACTGGATAAATAGCTGTCCAGTGGATAAGTGTTAACAAAACAAACCATACTATCCACTAAATAGCAAGGCTGTGGTCTATAAGTAAGTAAAATTACATGTAGCCCAAAGGTTCCTAACCATGAAATCCCAAGTGCCCAGCACTTAAGATTATGTGAAAAAAGTGTACTAAGTTTTTCCAGTCACCCAAAGGTAAAAGTTAGGTTCCTGTGTGCACGCAGATGCTTCATACATTGTATACAGCACAGCCCTGCTGGATAGTGATTTATCCAGTGGATAGAGTTGTCCACCTTTCTAACAACCTGGGCAAGGTTAAAAACTTCTATCTCGTGCCTATGAATGAAAATCTGACACCCAGCTGAAACATTTTCAGCTATTTGACCCAACCCCTGATGCACTTGAATCAATGCAGGAACAAACAAAGACAGTCCAATCTTGGCTTAAGTTTCTTCAATTGTCTAATTTTCAAGGGAGTACATACTTGTCTGGCAATACGTTATTTTTGGTGAAATATAACCTGAGACTAGGAAATATTTCAAACGCCTAAGCAAATCTCTCTTTTAGGTATCCTCCGTTTTTCGATGACAACCCTTTTGGAATTTATGAGAAGATATTGTCAGGCAAAGTAGAGTGGCCAAAACACATGGAAACAACATCAGCAAAGTAAGTAATTGACTTTCATTCCTGCAAGAGGTCAAAAACTATTCATGAATATGTCTTAAAAGGACTTAGGACTCAAGCAGTAATGTAAATAATTAAATAAAATAAATATCTTAATTGACCACTCCCCGAGTGGGGCTTTCCAGGACCAATAGAAACAAATGATGACACAAATAATGCAAATGAACATAACATGGTTAAAAATCCTAACTGGCAAGAGGCAGACCAGTTGACTATTTATAAATGTGGCTGAGGAGTTGAACAAGGGTCTACCAAGGAAATTAGTGGCTAGAGCGGGACTTGAACCTGCAACCTCTGGATTTCAAGGCCAGCGCCCTAACCACTGCCACAACCACACTGCCTGCTCTAATGTACAGTGGACCTCGGATATAATGAACCCTCTGATAACAGAGTCCAGCCATATTAAACAATTTGTTTCAACATAACCAAAGATACAACAGTACTGCCAACAGTACTGACAATGAAATGATGGAACAGGACACAGTGCCCAAGGGAAACAGTGAGTTTTGTTACCCCAAGACCCTCAATTTTCTCCAAGGTGAAGCGGAGTGGAACATTGAGGATCTTGGGGAAACCAAACTCACTGTTTCCTGTAAGGCCAGTCATTAAGTGTTTTGTATACCTCCCAACTAGAAAATTAAAAAAAAAATTACAAAACAAGTATTTGCTTGACACCAACTGGTGCAGCAAATTTGCCAAGTTTCCAAGGTGCTTGACCTGATCACGTGCAAGTTGTAAGTTCAAGTTGTTGTTTCCCTAGGGAGCTAGTGAGTTTTGACCTATGACATGTGACACGTTCTCTTCCAATCAGAAAATGTATTTGAAGTGGGAAGTATAACAAAACACATAATCTTGACTCCTGGACTCAGAAAACTTGGTTGGCCATGATGTTTGGATGTGTGATATATTTACCACATTTTACCTGGCAATGCAAGTTTTATTGATGTTCAGTATCAGGGTCTTACAGTAGCAACACAAACAGTTACAAAAGAAACCGTAAGCATAGCCTGCAGTGCAAGTGCTTTCCGTGTGTTCACAAGTTATCAGCGTTGGCTCGTGATTGAGTAGATTTGCTGCCGTCATCCTCACTGACCCACTTCATAGGATGCTTCAAGCCAAGTCCCTTCCAAGTTTGAATCCAAGATGGTGCCCACTTGATCAAAATGAGTCTCCATTGCAGGCTACCATAGGCAAGATACGCTGTCCACAGTAGAATGGATTAAGGAACATGATGCATGATGACAAATGCTCAGGACCAGTTATTAAGTTATATACATGTAATGATATTCACTGGGATTCGAACCCTTAGCCCTTGCCATTACAGTGCTTTGGAAGATTTAGCATTTTTAGGCTATGGATGACGTCGCATTGAAAAGAAGTTACCAATTATGTACTTATGCTTTTGTCTCATTTATTTTGACAGAGACTTGATCAAAAAGTTATTAGTACATGATAGAACAAGACGACTAGGAAGTATGAAGGTTAGTAAATCAAATCTGATTTTCTCCTTGAAATGCCTATAGATTTCCATTATGCAGGTTGGGAGAATTTACCAAATCATCACCAGTGGGAAATTGTCTTCATAGTTGAGGTAATTCTCTTAACTAATACTGTAAGAAATGTGTACCAATTGGAAGGAGATTTTACAATTTCGCAGAAGTTAAAGGGACACTGTCACGATATATTTGCTTAAAACTGTTATAAATTCACAAAATGGTCCCTAAATTTATGTAAGAAGAACTTAATTGGCTCTGACTAAACGATTATTAAAAGCAATTTCTTGAAGAAAGTCCACACTGCAGCAACAATTTTACAAAATTTCAATGATTTTCGAGCCAAACTTAAACCTTTGAAAAACTGACATCCTGACGTTTTTTCAAAACTCCATATCACAATCGGTTTCCATCCCTCGCTGTCGTTAGCCATCTTCACTTCTTAATGGGTTTTAATCATTTGTCGACTGAGTACTGCTCTACAAAACAAAACCGTTATTGTTCAGCTTCCAAAGATCTATATATGTTTTTGAGATTTCCAAAATCATGCTAAATATGGTGACAGGGCCCTTTTTAGGTTAAGAGAACCTGAACTTTTAGTTCATTAATCATCTGACTGTTAAATGTTGATCTACTTTTAGAATGGCACAGAAGATGTCAAATGTCACAAATGGTTCAAAGTGATTGACTGGAATTTAGTTTATCAAAGAAAGCTTAAGGTATGAAGTGAAAACTTTCAGTTGACTTATCACTGTTCAAAGTTAGACATGATGTATCGCCATTATAACTGAATAGTAATATGTGTTATAAAATAACTGAGCTACTACGCGCCCTCTCATTAGTCGATAGGTGTGTTTAGATGAGAGCATGTAAACACGGTTGTGACGTTTCAGATTCGCGCGTATTTTTGAGAATTATTTTATAAAAGCAATAGAGCACTTTTTTATGTTTACATAGCCTGATCTAAACACTCGGGGGAGGGGGAGGATTCTCGAAAGTTATGCAATCCCTCAGCTATGGCTCGGGTTTGCATAACTGTCTCGAATTCTCCCAACCCTCCTCGTGTTTAGATGAGGCTATGTAAACACGAAAAAAGTTCTCTATTGCTTAAAAATAAAAATTAGAAGTTAAAGGAAATGCCCTCTGCATCTGCTTGTTGTTTTATTGTTATTATTATTATTATTATTATTATTATTATTATTATCATTACTTTTACCTTGTATATACCTTATTTATAAAAAAAAAGTAGTAGTAGTAGTAGTAGTATTAGCATTAGTTGTAGTAACCATGATATCATGACATATATGATATGACGATGATGATAATAAATTATTATCATTATTATTATTATTTTGATATTATTATCACTATTATAATTACCGAAAACTTTTTTTTTTATTAAAAAAAAAAATTATTATTATTATTATTATTATTATTATTATTATTATTATTATTATTATTATTATTATTATTATTATTATTAT